AGATCTTTTTGTTTATTCTTTTTAAAAAAAGATAGAAATATATTTTTCATTTTAGATACGAATTGAAATATTTTTTTTATCATATGATGACTAACTCAATAACAATATCTATTTTTTGGACAACAACTCAATAACATATATAATACTTTTTCATACTCATGATAAGATCGCAGTTTATTAGTATAGGACATATGTTATCGTTCTTATATCTTGATTGTTTGTTTGTTTCGTGAACCACCATATACACGAACATGAATAACAAAGTTAATATACAATATACGCCTTTTCACCATCAGTGCAGCTGTGTAATTAATTATACGATCAAATTATATACATATTTTTTAATTTACAAGTTACTTAACAGTTGAACAATACATATACACATTAGCAACATCAATTTAAAGTGGAAAGGGGCAAAAATTACACTCCATCAAGATTCTCCTTGCGCATTAGATATTAAAAACAAAATACCACATTTCTCCATTATTTTGTAAATTCATAATCAACAAAGTTGAGTGCAAATCTAACTAACCACATGAAGACATGAGATGAGTGCAAAATCATAACCATCTAAAAACCTGAGAGGAGTGCAAAATCGAATTAGAACATGTGGGTTTGATCCTAGTATTATAACCAAATCAATGCACTAAATAATTTATTTGTAAATTAAATGAATATGTATTCCAGTAAAATGAAAGAGCTAAGAAATATGGCAACGGAAGAAGAGATAAAAAGTGAAAACATCAAACATAAACCTATTAAGATTGATGTAATATAATTTATAATCTGTATCTAATCGATGAAATACGATAAATGAATCGTGGTTTGCAAAGTGACGACTAAGATTGTTTACTTCACGTTGTGGACCACTTTCTAGTATGTATGAGGTTTCTCCTCGCTATCACTATATCTTTTAATCTAGCAAAAACATTAGAAATTAGATATGTCTCACTTTAGATAGTAAATTTGTGTAATTAAGTCTCTACAGAGAAAGGAAAGTTTTTAAAGGAGAAGAGACGAAGAAATTGACGTATGAGGTATAATTTTACCTTTGATTGAAGAGTGGGGATGTGAGATCGCTTTGTATCTACATCGTTGTATCTCAAATCATTATTATTATTTTTATTGATTTTTGTGGGTAACTGAAAAAAGAATAAGGTGATGGAGAGTTATGAGGAAGTAGAACAGTTTCTTATTTAGCTAAACGAAGGCATCTCCTAAAGTCAATTTAAGTTTAAACATGTAGCCAAAGTATGCTGACACGGCATGTTAAAAGAGTGCTTAATAAAGCTGAGGTGGACACTCTCAATAGCCTCAAATTGTCCCTTTTTATTAGTAGAGATTAGGTTATTAACCCCCTACGCGCGGGTATATTCGTATTGATTATATTTAAATTGTTTTAGATTTACTAATCAATATAATTAGCATAAGTATGTTTCTATTAATATCAATTACAAAATATTTAGATTAAATACTCATTTATATAGCTATATATTTACAAAAAAATATGCAAAAGTGCTATAACATTTTAGTTTTATTTTAATATAAAATTCTTTTATTTATAGTTTGTGTATCATTTACATTATTTCAATTTTTATTAGGATACAAAAGAAAAATTTAAAATTATATACGTTTAGTTAAAATCTTATTTTCTATAGATTGATGTTGGTAATAAATGCACCTAACAAATGACCACAAAAATTTAAATATTCCATGTCTTTTCACCTTTAACATTCCAATTGAATCTTTATAAATTACGTTGTTGTCATATATTAGAAATACTTAACTTTTATGACTTCTTTATTTTGTTATGCACAATTTCATTACCATTTTTTTCCTACTCACTTCATTTTTGTTAGTATAGGTTATCTCAAGATAATATTCTAAAAAACTAATGACTATTTAAAACCATGACTTCTATAAAAGTTTTTTTTGTAAGTTTTGCAACTACTACCTCTCATTGTTATATAATGTATGAGCGTTAACCATATATTTTAGCACTTCTTTTATTCTCCAAAATCTAACTACAACCATACTTTTATTTCATCTACATTCAACATTTTATATAAGGTTTGTTTTAGCAATTACAAAATAAAGTACTATATACAAGTAAGCAATTAAGATCATGATCACATATTAATAGTACCAAAAACATCCAAACCAGTCAATTAAAAACAAAAATTGCGCTCACAGAAAACTGTCGATTGACACCACCAACTAGTGACACCCTCAACTGGTTTCGGTCGACACCACCACGATAATGCACTGCGAACAACAGTCTAATGTTGATCGACACCCTCCTGGTGTCAATCAACACTCACACCCTAGAACACATCCAATCTTGATCTGATTAACCAGAGGACCTAAAATCACCACCACATCATCTCCCACGCCGACACAACCAAGGAACAGCTACAGAAGGCCACATAAACACCAGAAACACATAACACAACAAGGAAAATCATTCCACACATCAAATAAACACAAAACACACAATCTTAATGCTTAGATAAGCCATGGTCACGAACTCACTTTGATAAAGAACTAACAATGAAGAAAACAACACAATCAGAGGCAGCACAAGACTCTCTTAACACCACAGCCACAAAATCTTCCTTCCCTTTAGTCAAACTTCTCAAGAACATCACCTAAATCTCTCTAAAAGCCCATAGAACTTCACATGAAAACTTAGGAACTTTTTCCACTCTTCTGAAAGAATAAAAGCGGTTGATAACCCTTCAAGGCGCCGAGTTTTCTCTTTAAAATGAGGTTTAGGGTTTAGCGAAACCATCCCAAATTAATTTTTCAATTTAAAACAAACATGTCAAACCGAAATTTGTTGGTGTTGAGCAACACTAACAAAATTTCAGACAGGGGTGTTACAATTAGGGATCGACACTAACCCGCTCAACAATCCTGAAAAGACCCATAAACTCGGGCGTTATAAGTAGGTATTTACAAATACCTTTTATATCCATAGTCACTACAGCCTAATATAATTTTGAAAGAATAGAAACAATAAGCTTTACTTTGTCCATACATAGACTTTCGTGATTACCAATTAAAATGTTTACTGACTTATGTCATTTGCCCTACTGTTTGATAAATTATTTTTTGTTGTTAGTATAATAAATTTGTATTCACATTACAGCTTGATTTACAACTCATCACTACAACTTATCAAATCAACTTTCTAATTGGTCTAGTGTAAGAAACCAAAAAAGAGTTCAAACCTTTTTACATGTGTATATGGGGACATTAATAGAAAAATATTACCTCCCTTTTTTTGAGGTTGACTAGACTAACCAACAAAAGACACATAATAAATAAATAAAACTTCTTTTGATATAAGTCTTCTTATATAGAAGGCTTTCATATATAGCTATTATTTTTTTAAATTTTGATTTGTATTTTTCTGTAACAACCTTTCTATATTTTTATTTTTATTAAAAAGTACCTATTTCAATGTGTTAAAACATCTTTTGTGGACCTAGTAGAAAAAAATCAAAGCTAGAAGTCATCTATATAACATTTTACCCATTAGTATTTGAAACCACACAAATCCTCCTATCCTTCTTCTTCAAACATTTTTTTCACCATGGGTAGGAGAAAAGTTACACACCAATTGATCACCGACAACGCCACTCGCCGAGCTACATTTCAAAAACGCAAAGCTGGTTTACTGAAAAAGATCAATGAATTAACCATCCTTTGTGGTTTACCAGCTTGTGCTATCATTTACAGCGAGTACAAGGATGGTCCTGAGCTCTGGCCAAACGTTAACGAGGTTCGTTCTCTTCTTGACAGGTTAAGCGAGCTTCCAGTTGAGAAACAAATCAAATACATGATGGACCAAAAGGATCTCATGGAGAAAATGATTAAGGACGCAGAGAAGAAGTTGGAGAAGGAGAAGAAGCATACTCATGCTATGAATCTTGGGATAATGGCTTCAACCAATGATCTAACCACTGAATCAGATTGTTCAGAGGAACTGGTTAAAGCAGCCGAAGTGGTTGACAAGAAGCTCAAACTCATCCAAGAGAGAATCAAGGCTGTGGAAGCAGGAGCCCCCATCATCATGAGAGATTAGTCTTATAAAAAAATTATTATCTTATTATCTAATTTAATCTCATCGTTTTTATAATTGTTTTCAGATTACGATGTTTGGATTAATGGTGTTGACATTTATGTTCTATGATTTATGCTTTGCATTCTTAAGAAGGACTAGGAGAATTGTATCAATCTCGTTGGCCTTTGTGTTGTGTAATTTTTCATAGATTTAATAGAATGGATACCATGAGTGATATATTCGGTTTATGACCAGATTTGTTTTATATTTATGAAGATTCTATCCCTTATATGTTTGCTATTTTAATTTATTTCTATTTTTTCAGTCAACGATATACTTTCTAGATTATAGAAAATCATTTATCTTATTTCTTATCAAGAAAAATACTTATTTATTATCTTCTACAATAATTCAGAATATTTTTTTTATATATGAACTACATACGATTTAATCCGTGATTTATAGGAAGAACTTTTTTTGGTGCCAAAAATAACGGTGACAATCGTTTGTAGTCAATTCGATAAATATTTCATATATAAATCAATAAAAAAATGTCTTGAAAACCTAATTAAATTGGATTCATGAATGATAGTTTACTCTCCACGGTAGCTATTTATTTTTGTTATTGTATATTATCTAAACACAATATTTAGTCCAACTCAATATATAGGCAGCAATAAAATCGAAAATTTTAATTTTACAGAAATTTATTTCTACTAGTTGCTGACCCGCGCTATGCGCGGGAAGTTTATAATTTTTTTTATATTTTTATTTTTACTTTATTTTTGCAACGTTGATTTTGTTGGTTTTGTATTGCTATCATTTTTTGTTATTCTATTTTTCATATGATTTTTTTTTAAGTTTATATTAGTTTAATATTTGAAATGTTATTGTTATTTGTTTAACTGTAGATTAGGCTCAATAGTAGATGGTACAACCTAATTTTACAAATACACAAAGCATAACTGCTTTTCTCTCATGGGCGATATCAACGAGAAAAACAAGTCGTTCGTTTTCGTCACTCTTGCCGGCCGGCGTCGGCTTCTCCGGCGTTGGCTTCTCCGGCGTCGGCCATCGTCATTTCTATTTTCCATTGTTTGAATATCTCTAATTCCCTTCTTAATCTTAGGTTTTGAATGAATATAACGGCAAATCATGAGTATCAACAGTACGCTCTATGCTATGCGATGATGTTGTGTAAAGTATTGAGTGTGTCTTTTCTACGTAAGAGTCCGATATCTCTATGGGATCCATCTCTGGTTTGGTTTTGGATCAAATTTACCAGAGGCTTTCAGTAGATATGACAAAATCATCTCTTTTACAATGTAGTTCCTCCGCTATTATGTCATTTCGATGGAATCGTGATGTCCTTCTTTGTAGAAGGTTTGTTTCCGGTGCTTTCACTCGTTGCCGGTGTTTCTTTCGGTTAATAACCGGTGATTGTCCTCTTATCCGAGGGTGTGGAGGTTTGACTTGGGTGTTTGATCCTGGAATTAATGGAGGCATCAATGGACTCGATGGAATCATCATCAGAGATCAAATCAGGTATAACCTGAAACAAGTGACAGACGTTATGGAAAGGACAATGGCGGTGAGTGACTGTGATGGCGTTGCTCTCTATTTACCTTGGCCGGAAATTTCTGTTTCTATTGAAAGGAAAAGTATGGCCACTAAACGGCAACGATGCGATAGGCGTTTCGTGCATATAGTTTTGAGTTTCAGACAGCAAGAATCATAATCATTTCAAACAACATTTCTGTTTTTTATCTCAACAAAAGTAATGCGAAAAGCATTTTGGAGTTTCTTCTATAAGATGATAGCCAATTATGAGTATGTGAAGGGGGGACGTAACATATTTTATCTGTTTGCCTGTAAGGCTTCCAATCGAAAAGCAAGGTCATGTATACTTCTTTATCAAAACTGTATTCAATTTCCTTTATTTATGTCAATGGTTGTTTATGAATGGTTCATGTATCATGTAAAACTCTTTATAATATAATATACTTGATTTGGCGAAAAAAAAAAGTAATATTTCAGAAGCCTTAATTAAATTGTTGTAACCCTCACAAACTATTATGAATTATCAAATTAAATAGCTCTTTGTATGTATCCATTTAATAAGTTCATATTGTATAAAAGCAACATTATAGACTCACATAGATATAATTCTTTGCATTTCTATTGGCTCTCATATAATAGATATATTGGAGTGTGAATTGATTTTGAGGACATATCATAACTATTTTCTTCTTAATAATAGCCCTTTAAAAAGAAATCTTTTTGTTGTTTGCAGGTTAACAAAATTTGTTTTACTCACCCCTGACGCCTCGTCATTGCCACCCTGTCATTTGACTCATGGTCGTTGTTTCGAGAGATGTTGAACTTGGCTAATTGCATATACTTGAGGTTGACAACTTGATTTTTTTGTGAGTTTAGGCTGGTATTTTCATAGTATCAAAGTTTGGGTATTAAAAAACTGTTAGGATGAATGAATAAATGAATTTTCAAATAGTTTAATTTATTCATGTGCATTATTATCTTGAGAAATTCTTACTAATAACCTTTTTATGATACCCTCTTGCAAAACTACCCTATTTGTTTGCCATTTTCATTTTTGCCCGCTCTTAAATTTTAATGGTCATTTTACCCCTAGTTGAAAGAATATTCCTTTCTTTGGATGAAATATTATTTCCAAAAAATATTCCCCCATAACAATTTTCCCGACAAAAAAATTTTCGATAAACTTTTCCCGCAGAAAAAAACATTTTACAAAATTTTCCCGCCAAATTTTTTTGAAGGGTTTACAAGGAGTTTTAAAGGTCTTTTAAAGGATTTACAAGGGTTTTTAAAGGAATTTACAAAAGTTTCTAAATGGTTTTTTAAAGATTCGTAATAGTTTTTAAAGGGCTTTAGAAGTTTATAAGGGTTTTTGAATGGTTTTTAAAGGACAATGATTTTTAAAAGTTTTTATAAGTTTATAACAGTTTTTAAAGGATTTACAAGGATTTTTAAAAGACTTTCAAATGGTTTTTAAAAATTTACAAGGAATTTTAAAAGGTTTTTAAAAGAATTAACAAGTGTTTTAAAAAGAATTACAAGTGTTTCTAAAGGCATTTACAAGGATTTAAGGGTTTAAAAATTATTTTAAAAGGATTTACAAGGATTTTTAATGGTATTTACGAAGATTTTAAAATAGTTTAAAGGATTTACAAGGGGTTTTAAAGGGTTTTAGAAGTTTACGAATGTTTTTAAAGGGATTTCAAAGGTTTTTATAGGTATTACAAGGACTTTAAAATGGTTTTTAAGGATTTACAAGGGTTTTTAAAATGTTTTAGAAGTTTACAAAAGTTTTTATTAAAGGATTTACCACAGTTATAAGGGGTTTAAAGGGATTTACAAGTGTTTATAAATGTTATAAAATGATTTACATAGGTTGTAAAAGGTTTACTTAAGTTTTGAAAGGTTTTGGATGATTTTAAAAAGATTTACAAGGATTTTAAAAATATTTACTAGGTTTTTAAGGAATTGCGGAAAATTATGGCTGAAAATTTTGGCGGGAAAACTTTTGTCGGAAATTTTTGGCGGGAAAGTTAATGTCAGAAATTTTTGGCGGGAAATTTTTCGAAAGGAATATTCTTTTGTTGGAAATAATATTCCGTTCTTCAACGTGGGTTATACTAAAGGAGAGTAATTTAGTCATTTTGTACATTAAAGAGGGTATTTTCGAAAATGGACATCCAGACAGGGTATTTGTAGAAAAGGATATCATAAAAAAGTTATTTGTGCAAATCCCCTAATTATCTTTTCAAGTTTTAATAATTTATTTTAAACACTTTTGACTACTATGCGTCTTTTGTTGGTTGATTTAGTCAACCTAAAAAAAACGGAGGTATTATTTGCCTATTAATGTCCCCATATACACATGTAAAAAAAACTTGAACTCTTTTTTGGTTTCTTACATTAAACCAATTAAAAAGTTTATTTGATGATTTGTAAATCAAGTTGTAATGTTAATAACTTATATTTATTATACTGACAAAAAAACATAATTTATCATACTAAGTAACTGACATATGTCAGTAAACACTTTAATTAGTAATCACAAACGCCTATTTATGGATGAACAAAGTAAAGCTTAACGTTTCTATTGTTACAGATACATATTAGGTTTTTGTGATTATTGATTTTAATGGTGTGCATATTTGTAAATAAGTGTTTACACCATATCAAATCCTCTTTTAATTGGTATAATATTAAAAGTTAAGGCCAAAATTTTCTACTATGGTAAAACGTATAAGGCAAAATGAATATATATGTTTCATTTAAAACATTTCATGAGATCTTATCCAAAACATTACATTTTTCTACCATTGTATTTTAAAACCCAGGATTATGGTTGGGCTGACAAAAAATTCAGACGGGATTTTGTTATAACAAAAGTGGGGAATTTTTGTTTAACCCACTGTAAAATTGGGATAGGAAAAGACTAAAAAATGATCTTATGAATAAACATATTAAAATATGCTATTATAACATACTTTTGAAAAACGTACTAGTTTGACGATTTTTTTCAAAAACTTTTACTAAAACATGAAAACTATGTAGTTATAACTAATAATAAAATTGCATAGAGATACATGTCTAATTGCCTACATATCGTTTTTTCATTTATATGACAAACAAAAAAGATATTTCATTCAATTCGTTCTAATAAAAGATAGTCTTAATTAAACAGCTTATCTCAAGTCATTTCGCAATAAATTTTATAGTTTCATACATTTTATAATGCCGAATCCAAGCCCAACATACAAAGAACAAAAAAAAATACATAGTTAAATTAGTGAACGTACCGTCTCACTGAACGAGTCCTTCAAAATCTGCAAGTTATCCTGACCGATTTGATAGAATTTTTCTTTCTACTGTCGTGAACAATGAGAAAACATAAGACAAACATTAGATCACCTTTTAGTTAGTGTTAGTTTAAAAAAAAATTGCTATTAACAAGCTAATCGCCAACAATACTTACAAAGATATTTTTGGTGCCATTTTTATCTTCTATCTCTGGTGATGCACAAAGAAACATATCTTAGTTTGCATAGAGAAGATATGGAGAGATTTGGTGATATAAAATGAATGGTAGAAAATTTATATGTGTAGTTACATACCATTTTATTCCCGTAACGCTCTTTTTCATGTATGACACGTTGAGTTTTTTTTTCTCTTATTTTTTGTTTGCAACGTGTGTTGTAATCTATTGGTATGAATTAATTTTGCATCTAAGATTTTGTAAGATGGAAAGATATACATATATGGTCTATAATAAATTTTTCTATTTAACAATTTGGAAGAAGTTATTTATTCTAACGCTTTTCAATGTATGACACATTAATTTCATTTTACAATACATGTTGTGGTCAGTGATCTGATTATAGATTTTACTTTATATTTTGTAGAATGAAGAGATTTAGTTTGATTATAAATTTTACATTATAATTTGTAAAATGATAAACTTTAGCTTAATAAAATATACATTTGATTAATTTTGTACTTGCAAGAGACACTTATTATGAATTTAATGTTTACATAAAAACACCATATGAAAAAAACTCTTACATAAACTAGTATTAAGTTCTTGTATGTGGCAAAGATTATTGGTATCTTTATCACTATCATTTTCTCAAAGCTAGTTTAAACACAAGTGTAGTATCTTCCGCAAACTATCCGATGCTCAAGTACAAAAATTATTTGTTTGAGCTTGTGATTCCCTGGTTTGCGGATAGGCTTAAATGAGTTGATTTGACCACTTATGTCACCAAAGTGCACTTATTTTCTCAGTCAAAGGTCCTGAGAGAACTCCAGAGTTAAGCGTGCTTATGCTGGAGTAGTCAAAAGATGGGTGACCTTCCGAGAAATGGTTGTCGGAACTGTGTGAGTGAGGCCAAAACATTGGGAAAGATCAAGTGGTGATTTATAGGGTCGGTAAAGCCGACTGTCGGATATGGATGGGCTCATGGGCCTAGTGTGAAGACGTGAGGCCCATTAAGAGAGGCGGCCTATGGGCTGTGAGTGCACATGGGATCCGCTGGGAGAGATGGCGGTCGGGGCGTTACAAGTGGTATCAGAGCTAAAATTAGACAAGTGTGGAGGCAAGTGGTCTCACACTGTCAGGGGGTGAATCCTAGCGCTCGTATTTTAAAGGGAAAACTTAACTCATGTGTTGTTAGTTGCTTTTGTCTTCTTCCAGAGAGGGAAAAGCTTCTAAACATTTCATGTGAGGTTTCTGTGGGTTTTAGTGAGTTTTGGGTGTTGTTTTTTATGAGAGTTTTAGCAAAGGGGAGGGAGTTTTCATGGTTGTGGTGTTAGAAGAGTCATGTGCTGCCTCTGATTTTGTTGTTTTCGTCACTTTTCATCCCATATCAAGGTGAGTGCATGATCAGGGCTTATCTAAGTAGTTTGATCATTATTTTTGGTGATTTCATGATTGTTTGGTTATCTTCCGTTAAATGTTCATTGTTTTGAGATAAGTTGAAATCGGCTAATTTCATATAATTGAGGTTGACACTTTAAAAAATTCTAATGTGTTTAGGTTGGTTTTTGCATAGTATCAAAGTTTGGGTATTAAAACTGCTAGGATGAACGAATGGATGAAATTCAAAGATTTTAATTTAGTCATGTGGATTATTATCTTTTCAAGTTTTAATAATTATTTTAAACATGTTTGATTATAATTATTTCTTTATTATCTACTATGCACTCATTTTCTTTCGACATCTACTTTATTTCCACTTTCTATTGGCTCACATATAACATATTTTTAGGCTATATTGATTTCCAAAACATATTATAAATATTTTCTCTTTAATTACTATATTTCAATCTTCAAATTTGGGTTAAAAGCATTTGATCCAATTTATGAAATATCAAAAAAAAAAAAATTTCTGATCATGTTATAAACTAGTATTTCACTTTCAATTTTATAGTTCCTAAGTAAAATTATATATACAATTACATAAATGTTGTTTATTTGGTAGATTCTTGAGTCTTCATTGTTGCTATTGTGATTATTGATAATGTCATATTATCAAGTGGAGCAAAATTGGGTCTAGCCCATCACCTAGTTAATTATAAAACTAGTCAAGATAAGAATCTTGAAAAACATATTGTGCCTGGTTAAAAAGAAATTTCTTCTATCTATTTTCCCTTTTTTAGTAGAAGTTTTTTTCTTCTATTTTTTAAAGTTGATAAACAAAGTTCATTTGCAAACATATCAAACCCGTGGAATATAAATGTTCTTTATTGTATTAAAAGATGAGTAATTTTTGTAAGTAATAGCAGATTTTAGAGTAATTTGTAAATAAATAAAAAACCCAACAGATCAGGCCCAATAATTATTTGAAAAAATTGCAAAGTATAAGATCATCATCCAATAAGATTAATGTAATCCCATCAATAATACAAAATGACTATCCCAAAAAGGATGGTTCCATCAATCATGTGGATTGATCAGTTTGTGTAAGCCATAAATTGATCACAGTAGAAAGATGAGAGATCTCTTGAAAAAGGGATTGACTGATCTTAATGAATAATTTTGGGAGACCTATTGTGGTAATCAATAAGAACAAGAACGTGCATGTGAAATCAATGCAGTGAGAAGTTTTCTTCTAAGTGTTCCTACCAACACAAAACTTTGAAAGGATTGTGTATTTATGGGTTTCAAACTGCTTCTTACTGTTCATAATGTACTAATAAATTTATTTACTCATCACCAATTTAAAATCTAACCATCACTACTTCTTACTTTTTTTTTAACACTGAATCAATAAGCTTTACTAAGGAAAGAAAAGTTAATAAACACCATACAAAGCAAATGAAGGGAAACAATAAAAACCACCACTTAGAATCTCACTCTTTGATCTTGGACGATCCTCTCATTCAGCCACGCCAGTCCACCTAAGGCAACGTACGAGGTCAGTCTGCCATCTCGGGTCACACTCTTCTCAATGTCCCTGGCCACCGAGTTTGCCTTAACAGAAGACACTTTAAAGGAGACCTCACCCATTGAACGAAGAACACCAAAGATTTTGTCCAAAAGAGAATGATACTTGGGCCATGCAATCAGAGACTCTAGAGCTGATAGTGATGCCGTGCAGTCTGACCAGACTTCGCAAGAAACGATGCGAAGATCTTTAAAACATTGCAAACATGGTCAGCACGAAGTAGTTTTTGCTGCAAGAACCATTCTTCAGACGTATTAAGAATCATAGCTAGTAGAATGTTATGATTATGAGCTTGACCTGCAAAAATAACGCTATTACGTTATTTCCACATCTCCCAAATAATCCATGGAAAAACAGTTCTTTGGTTCACCCGTACATCCAGACTATCCATTAAACCAAGGATATAATCCAAGTTTTCTGGAACGGTCAAAGAAAAACCATGCTCCGACAGCGGAAGAGCAGAAGAAAACCAAACTTATCTTGCTAAAGTACAGCAGAACAACACATGAGAAACAAATTCTTCTTCTACACCACATATTTGGCAAAGCGGATTAACTTAAAGCCCATGTCGACGCATACATTCTGCTACAGCCAACACACCAGAAACAGCTCTCCATAAGAACATTCAAATTTTTGGTTCAGTGGGAATATTCCAAACCCGTTCCTTGATCTTGTTAATAAGGACAACTTGATCAGGCAATTACTCTAGAACTTCAACCTCCCGATTCAACAACCAGTACCCATTCTTAACCGCATATTGACCATTCATTGTGAAATCCCAAACATACCGATCTTAAAGATTCAGCGCAGGTGGGAAGGAATAAGTGCGAATCACGTCATTAGGCAAGAAAAGCGTGTGAAGTCGAATACCATGCCAAGTACCATCCGATGTTATAAGGGAGCTATCTTTTAATTTTGAATACATGAAGATCTCCTTATTGTACGTACGTCGAGACAGCTCATCAAACACCCATTTATCAAGCCATACATTCGTAGTTCTGCCATCACCAATTGATTTCATTATGTAACGCCCGTGACCGGAAATCCGGGTGGTGTCGATCGACACTGAGGTCGGGTGTCGATCGACACTAGTAATTTTGGTTTGACGGTTTAAGTTTTAAATCGTCGGTTCAATTGAGGCTTGGTTTGGGGGAAAACCTCTGTCGACTTTATAAGCTTTGGAGCACCGTTTCTCTCTTAAAACTTCACTTTGTCGCTTTGTGAGTTTGAGAGAGAATAGAGACTGAGTTTGATCCTTTTTGGTGCCTTTGAGTGGGTTTTTGGAAGGATCAAAGCTTGTTCTTGGTGGTTCAAGGCTAGAGGAAGGTTGATATGTGGTGTTTGGTGTCTGTGGAGATCGTTTCCACCCTTGCAAGTCCCTGTTCGTTGCTGTTCTTTCTTGTTTAAAGAGGTGAGTGCATGACCAGGCTTATCTAAGCATGTTTGATCATTGTTGTAGGAGTTTGATGATTGTTTGATTGATTTCTTTGATTGTTTGGCTGTTTATTTGATTATTGATGCCTGTGGAACCCCTTGGAGACTCGCTCATATCATGATGGTGAATTGGAGAAGAGATCCAATGAGAAACGCAGTTGGAGCGTCTGTAGAGAGTCGGTGTTGATCGACACAAAGGGTGGGTGTCGCTCGACACCAACGTTTTGTCTCGCGAGGATAACTGCGTCTTACGATTGGAGTGTCGACTCTACAAATCACCACATGATCTTTCCCTGTGTTTTGGCCTCACTGACACAGTTCTTACAACCACTTCCCGGAAGGAATGCTGGAGTAGTCAAAGGATGGGTGGCCTTCCGGGAAGTGGTTGTCGGAATTGTGTGAGTGAGGCCAAAACACAGAGAAAGATCATGTGGTGATTTTTAGGGTCAGTAAACATGAGGCCCACCGGTCGTAGCAAACCGGTCGTCAGATATTGGTGGCTCACGGGCGTAGTGAGAGGACATGAGGCCCATTAAGAGAGGTGGGCCCATGGGCTTGTGATGAACATGGGGCCCACTAGAGAGGTGGCGGTTGGGGCGTTACACGACGCCACACATATGAGGGTCGATAACCCATTTTAGTCTCCAAGAAAAGCATGTTTGGATAATATACTACTTTATAAACTCTGGTTTTGCAAGCAAAGCTTGATTAAACCTACCAATATCACGGAATCCCAATCCTCATATGTCCTTTGATCTACAAACTTTCTTCCAAGCAACCCAATGCATCTTGTTTTTATCCTCATGAGCACTCCACCAGAACTGCATCATGGCACTTGTAATTTGCTTGCATTGATGTTTAGTCAGCTTAAAACAGGACATTGCATATACAGGAAGGGTCATTGCTATAGATTTTAACAAAACTTTCTTCCTGCCCAAAGAGATTGTCTTCTCAAACCAGCCACTAATTCTTGACTTCAATCTATCTATGATAAAATTAAGGAGGTCGCACTTTGATCCACTAAAACACTCAGGAAGTCTCAGGTACTCGCTATCACCACCCTCTTGTTCAATACCAAAAAACAGCCCTAGCATCTGTCACATGTAAGGTTCTAGCTTCTTCCCAAAAGTAATAGCAGATTTCTGGAAGTTAATCTCCAGCCCCAAAGCCTTTCCATACAGCTCAAGGCATTTCAAAAATTCAGTACACTCTTTAAGGCTTGCTTGACAAAGGAAAAGACTATCATCCACAAAGAGCAGATGTTGAATCGATGGACAGGAACGTGAAGGTTTCATTCATGTTAATCTTCCGTCAAGCTCAGCTTTATTCATGATGTGCACCAAAGCTTCAGCACAAAGAATGAAGACAAAAGGCGATAACAGATTACCCTGTCGTAGTCCTCTTTGTGGTTGAATATATCCATATGAAGCTCCATTAATAAGAATAGAATATGAGACCAAGGTAAAACTAACTCATTATCCATTTCACCCACATGATATCAAAACCTAGCCGACTAAGTAGCTCTTCTAAAAAAGACCACTCAACTCGATCATAAGCTTTAGACATATCGGCTTTATAGCCATGAAATCTTCATCACAACTAGTATTTGTCTTCAAGGCATGAACGAGTTCATGTGCAAGTAAAATATTGTCTAATATCAACAGGCCGGAAACGAAAGCTCCCCGATTATCTGAGACAATAGAAGGTAAAATGCATTTTAATCGATAGCACATAACCTTAGAAACAATTTTCTATAGTACCGAACAAAGACTAATTGGTTAGAGATCAGTGATCTTTGATGGATTTAAATTCTTTGGGATTAAAAAAATATGTGTGAAGTTCCACTCAGGCGATAAGGAACCAGATTCAAAAAACTGTTATTCCTCAGATATACTTGAGGCCCAACAATGTTCCAAAAAGATTGATAAAAACACCCCGACATGCCATCAGCTCTTGGGGTACTGTCACCTCTAATACTGAATATTGCCACCTTAATCTCTTCGCCTTAAACTGGATGCACTAGAGTGTTCTGATCACCGTCACACATCCATTTTTCTTTGCTCTGCTGCTTACAAAAGAGTTCTTCCTCATGATAAGCTTCAACTAATTTCCACCGTAGAGTCTTCAACAACTAAAAATCTGGTATTAGTTTAGCTCCCTCAATTTCAAGTTCATAGAACAGCCTCGAAATATTCTCCTGAGAGTTCTGGTTAGTAGATTGATTCCAGAGAGATATACACCTTCTACAATCTGCAATACGGCTCATTAAGGAATAGTTATCCAAAGCGAAACCTTTATTCCAACCCTCTCTCACTACCTCAGAGAAATCCGGTTTCGAAACCCACCTTTTTTGAAACATAAACCGACCTCGTTGTTTTCATTCACAAACCTTGTGATGATAGGGCGATGATCAAGTTACCTCAATTTCAAGTTCATAGAACAGCCTCGAAATATTCTCGTGAGAGTTCTGGTTAGTAGATTGATTCCAGAGAGATATACACCTTCTACAATCTTCAATACGGCTCATTAAGGAATAGTTATCCAAAGCGAAACCTTTATTCCAACCCTCTCTCACTACCTCAGAGAAATCCGGTTTCGAAACCCACCTTTTCTGAAACATAAACCGGCCTCGTTGTTTTCATTCACAAACCTTGTGATGATAAGGCGGTGATCAGAGCCAATCCTTTCCAAATACTTAGTTTGCACCCTTGGAAAAAGATGAAACAAGCTGCATTACCAAGAGCTCTATCAAGCTTACATTGCACCCAAACTTGATTGCGTTCCCCAGCCCATGAAAATTTATTACCAATACTAGCAGTTTTCGGTTTACCAGACACTGAATCAATGCCAACGTCATCATCAGTCAAAAATCCAAACAAAGGATCATCCTTACTAATTTTTGGAACCAGACGACTTGGAATTCCCCCCGTAGCAACAGTTTGCCGGTTTGAGGGATTAAATGGGCAGTGTTCCTTGTCATGAGTTAGCCTTTGACACTGATTGCATCGGCGCTAGATTCTCTCATACTCCATACCAATGTAAATCTTCTCTCCATATGGGATCTAAACTTCTCTAGAATTCTTCAAGGGTTTGTTTACATCAAATAGAACTCTAACTCTGACATATCCCTTGCTTAGTGGTTTCAAGGGATCAAAAGCAACAATAACTGTCCAATATGCGCTGCAATTTCCTTAATGGTATCAGCTGTGTTAAAGTTCACCGGAATATTGCGAAGACGGATCCATATTGGCGGCACATTCAAGTAATCAGCTGGCGGTTTCTCCACCCATCGCTCCAGCGTAATACTCCAGTCATTAAAGGTCCAAGCACCGATATCTAAGACCGTAGTTAACTCAGACTCTGAATCAAAGAAGAAGTCAAACTGTTCATTAGAAAGAGCTATTCCTCTAGCTCTGTTGTACATTCGCCATAAGTGAGACATTTCATGAATCAAATCAAACATCTTCTAGTTCTCTGGGCACAAAAGACGACCAGTGATACTACTCTTGTTTCGCAAGCAAGAGCTGAACTGCGGAAGGTTTTGCAGCACAATCGGTTTATCATCTTCAATCGACATCTCCTGCAAAGCTTTATCCAACTCATACTCTATGACTGCACGTAATTAACGTATCAAACAAGGGTTTTGAGCTTTAACACCAGTAGGTTCGACGACGGCTCTCAAGAACACGACGAAATAGGTTAAATATATAAAAGATCTCCAAAGATTTTGTAACAAAAGTGATAAAAACAGAAAATATTCTCCCAAATCCGGCGAAAACAAAGATATTCCCGGTTTACTTAAGTTCTCTCCCTAGAGAGAAAAATCTCCTCTCCTTTTACTACGATTCCTTGTGTCATGTACTATTTATCTATTTACTCATTAGTCATTACCAATCTATATTAACATTTTTGAAGTACGTTTTGGGTTATAACCTTTTATTTTGTATTATTTGCATAATTAACTCCTTGCCATTTGAATAAAGAGAATTTTTGAGAAATACCCCTTTTGGTGTACCCTTTTTAAAAATACCCCCTTTATCTATCCATTTTCAAAAATACCCCTTTTTAAATATAAAAGATTATAAAGTTTTATATAGTTTATAAGGTACTTCTATATAATAACTACTACTAGGAGATTTGATACAAATATTTTAAAATGTTTTAAATAGTTTTAAATCGTTTTTATAAGTTTTATAAGGTTTTACAAAGGTTTTTAAAAGGGTTTATACGGTTTTTATAAGGTTTTTATAAGGTTTTTATATTATTTTTTTACGCTATTTATGAAAGGTATATAAAGTTTTATACACATATAAAGGTAATTTGTGTATATATTTATAAGCTTACACACATATTTGGATAAATTTCAACATTTTTAGTGAGTTTTTTGATAAAGTTTGAAACGGGGTATTTTTAAAAAGAGGTATATGAAAAGGGGTATTTTTGAAATTCCCCCTTGAATAAATAACAAAACTTTAAAATTAAATTTTGTAATTAAATCATAATAAAATTGCAAAATTGGAAATCGATAGTTATTACATTTAACAAAATTTCCTAAAATCTCTCCCTAATAAATCAAATATTTCTCCAATATCTTTATATGATCTTATTTGTTTTGAAAATTATATTATTACATAAAACATATGTATAGTAAAATTATAATTTTTCGCATATGTTGCAATTTGAATTTTTTAAAACGGACGTATTTTACTCAATCGATACAAAAATGTATTAACAAAACTATTATTGATAATTGTGATAATTGTGTAGCACGGGTCATGTGATGGAACGAGTTATAAATTACATATATTTTTTAGGGGTTGTCTACTATAGTCAAGCTCACAAAATATTTTAATTTGAAATTAGACTATTTAAACTAAAGATGTTGTGCCAACATCATTTCATTATTTTGAATATTAGATTTATTTAGCTAAGTTGATCAAATTACAATTATATACAAACAAATTATCATGTCATATTTTACTAGTTAAATTATAGAATCAACAATCAAAATACAGTAGTACAATATTATATACCAAACAAAATTAAAAAAATATATATATTTTAAAATATTGCGGGTTAAATTCTAGTAAAATATTAAATCAGCTCTATTATATTAGGATTTAACATAAATGTGTTCAATTAACTAAAATCATAACAGTAAATCGAATAGGTTACTATGTGCAAATCTAAAGGTTGTGTACTCTACAATATTACAAATTTCTTGGTCATTAAGAAAAAGAAAGCTACAAGATTAAGAATATCTTGGGCATAATACAATACTTTAGTATTGTATTTCCATATTTCTTGATCTCATATATCTGTGTATATTATCTAGTTTCCTTATGCTTAGATATAGAACTTGGGCAATACGTTTTGTATGTTTGTATATATATACTTCACCTAAGCATTCTAATAAAACACAGAAAACATTCTCTATGGATCGACTCTAAATTTATCATGGTATCAGAGCAGTAATCGAATTATGGGATTCTCTTTGTTTTTTTTAGATTTGATTTCATATCTTTGTAACGATGGCTGAAGAACACAGAGCGATGGTACCTGCGAAACCAATGGAGAATCAACGACGAACAATCTCTCCTTATGACCCAACCTCAAACGACAACCCCGGAAGCATCATCTCACGCCCTTTGTTGCGTGGAGATAATTACGAATAGTGGGCCGTGAATTTGGAAACCGCTCTTTACTCTCAAAATAAATCATGTTTTCTTGATGGCTCTATCAAGGAACTAGTTGAAAACTAGGAGGACTATGAAGATTGGAAACCTATCAATGCTCTCATAGTCTCCTGGATCAAGATGACAATCGAACCGAAGCTCCTGTCGAATATCTCTCACAAACCAATTGCAAAAGACTTGTGGGATCATATTCGAAGCTGGTACCGTGTGACCAACGGTCCAAGGATTCAACAACTGCAACAAGATCTAGCCAACTGTCAACAAGTAGGTGTTAGCATTCAGACATACTACGGACGGCTCACAAAACTGTGGGATGATGTCACAAAACTACGGACCTCCTTTGGTGTGCACATGTGGTCATTGCACATGTGATCTCAGTGGTGAGGATGAAAAACGAATGGAAGAAGACAAGGTTCATAATTTTCTGCGTGGTCTTGATGAATTGACTTATGGAATGTTGAAATAAAATTTGATGGCTCGAGATCCTCTACCTACGTTGGAACAAGTATACTTGAATGTTACACAGGATGAAGATGCTCGCTTGAAGAAGAAAAGCTTTGAAGGAAAAACTGAAAACATGGCGTTTGTTGCACAAACACAACGACCTCGCTCTCATTATGATGATAAAACCACAAGCGTTATGTGCACAAATTTTGGTCGAGTTGGGCATCAAGCGGATACTTTTTTTCAAATCTTGGGATTTCCTGAATGGTGGGGTTATAGACCATGAAATCGAACCGGTCGTGGAAGAGGAACAACTCCGCCAGCTAGTGGTACACTGGGTCGCGGTGGCCCTGCTCGTGCAAACGTTGCTAAGATCGTTGCAAATGTAGCTGTAACAGATGCTGACCGTGATGCTATTTTGGGACTAACAGATGAGCAATGGTTGAGCGTTCGACGAGTAATGAGTGCAGCAAAAACTGGTACAAGCGAACAAATGTCTGGTAAGATACTCTCTCCTTCTTGGATTTTAGACACAGGTGCTACTCATCACTTGACTTGTAAGAAAGAGATTCTTAAGAACATACGAAAATCTAAACCAACTCAGGTTATGCTAGCAAATGGTAGAGTTGTTACAAGTGAAACAGTTGGTACAGTTGTGTTAAATTTGCATCTTAGTTTGATTGAGGTTTTCTACATTGAGAATTTGGGCTTTGATTTGATCTCGGTAACACAACTAATGGAAGAAAATAATTGTGTGATGCAATTGGCTGTTCCATTTTGTGTTCTTCAGGACCGTATTACGAGGACGCTGATTGGAATAGGTGAGCCGGTTGGGGGTTTTGTCTATTTTCGGAACACCGAGGTTGTTGCAGCTTCGAAGGGTCTCACGAATCAGTCCGTGGAGCTCTGGCATCGTCACTTGGGACATCCATCACCAAATATAGTGGAGATGCTTTCTGATTTCAGTTTTAGTAGTAGTCGTACTTCTATGAATAAAGTGTGTGACATATGTACTCACGCTAAACAAACTCGTTGTTCTTTTCCGTTGAGCATTAATAAGACTTCAGAGATATTTGAAATGATTCATTGCGATATATGGTGACCGTATAAAGTTCCGTCTTTCTCTGGGGTTAGATACTTTCTCAGGGCTAGATACTTTCTCACCATTGTTGATGATTTTTCGTGTGGAACTTGGATACATCACATGAATGCAAAGAGCGAGACACCGACAAAGCTTCAATTTTTTTTTTCTCTCGTAGAAGGACAGTTTGGAAAGCAAATTCGATCGTTACGTAGTGATAATGGAAGTGAATTTTTATCTTAACGACATATTTTTTGGAACACGGCCTACATCATGAGACCTCGTGTGTGGGAACACTGCAGCGAAACGGCCGCGTTGAACGTAAACACTGTCATTTGCTGAATGTTGCTAGAGCTATTCGTTTTGAAGGTCATTTGCCTATTAAATTTTGGGGAGAGTGTGCTCTAGCTGAAACGTGCCTCATCAATTGGACACCATATGTGATTTACAAGGTAAAACTCCTTATGAAATTTTGTATGGAGTTAAGCCTTCTTATGATCATCTTTGTGTTGTGGGTTGTGTATGTTATATTCTTAATCAAGACCATCACGGGGATAAATTTGCAAGCAGAATTCGCAAATGTGTATTTGTGGGTTATCCTCATGGGAAGAAAGGATGGAGAATCTTCTATTTAGAAAAAGGAATTTTTTGTGTCTCCCATGGCGTTATTTTCCGAGAAGACACTTTTCCATACCAAAAGAACGATACACAAGACATTGGTTTGGTCGATGAGCATCCATCGTTGCAACCACAAACCTGTCTAAATGAAACTCTAGTCTCTCACCCGTCTCTCGTGGAAGATACACCGGCAACTATAATTCCAGCTGCAGACACGACGACTTCGAGTGCATCTTCAGCGGACGACAGCTCTAACGATGATGAGTGACAAGTAACTCTGAAAATGGAAAAGAACACGTTGACTTCGAAATTGAAGTAGACCTTGATATGGATATTTCTCCAAATTGCTGTTCGCAAAGAAGCTCGCCAACGACGTCCACCGGGGTATCTCGCTGACTACGATACTACACTTGTGCGTATTGGATCTAGCTACTAGTTTATATCCTCTATCTGATGTGCTGTCTAACGAACGCTTCTCTGCAAGTCACAAAGTGTTATTGGCTGCTATCACCATTGCAAGCGAACCGAAAAATTTCTCTGAAGCGATGCAAGATGCTCACTGGAAAGATGCAGTTGGAAATGAAATTACCTCTCTCGAACTGAATAATACGTGGACGCTTGAAG